CCTCATTATTCTTGGCTACTTGTGGACTCGCATTGTACTGCACCTTCTCATTGGTTTCCGCTTGCTTTTGTCGCTCATAGGCGCGTACATCCTCCAGAGTCATGCCATGCCACTCATCCACCCAAGCGAAGGCCTGGCGATGGCCGAGTAGCAAAATATCCCGAATGCCACGCTGAATGAAGTCTTCCACCTTGGTCTGCAGGCCCCAGACCTCGAAGCTGGCCAGCACTACCTTGTAGGAACACATAATAGGAGTATCAGTTTCACGCCAGCCCTCAATAAGTGGACCACGATCTGTAAACGAAAACAGTTACAAATGCTTTCAGGCCTTTCAGTTTTAGACTTACTTGTCTTTTCTGACTTAAAGAACTTTGGATCCTCTTCGCGTTTATAGTGTTTGCCACTGAATTCATCAAATGCAATGTCCACATGGTCTACTGAACGCGCCTTTAACTCTTCCTCGCTGAGATCTAAGCACTGTATAGAATAACAATAATTAGCTGGTTCCAAGATTTCGTAAGATTTCTTTGAAATACTAATTACGTTCTCGGTGCTGCCATTGTTGTTCTCATATTTGGTCTTTATTAAAACATTTAATTTTGGTATGAACGAGCACTGTAATATGCAAAGAATATATTGTATGTAATATATAGTGAGTCGACATGCCCAATCAATTTAGATAATTACCGTGTATTCTGCCATGTGGTCAGTCATTTGAATCGACATGATGAACATACAAATACAAGGGAAAAAATCAATACATGACATAATTTTAACATAACCGAAAAACGAAGTAAAAATAGAAACATTGAAATCCAATTAGGTTCCAAAATATCTCTGTATGTGTGTGCTTGTTTGATTCTCTTCTTAATTACATTTAAAGAATTATAATGGGAGCGAAAACCAAAAAATATTTTATTTTTGCATTCATCGGTGGATTAAAAATTACAAATAAATATTTTAAATTTTATCTTTCACTTAACATGAATTTTCCCTCTCTTTTAAACGTATGAACGACTATTTTAAAATAATAATTTTTTCAGATGCATATTCTGTCTTTTAAAGTGAATTATAAATATATATTTTTTTATACATATTTAATTTAATTATATGCCTAAATAACGAATAGCTTGGATTGAGGGAGCATATTGTATTCCTCTAAGTTACTAAGTTTAGTTTCCCAGTCGATGCTACAAAAGCGAATGCTAGCGACCAAAAACTAGCGTAAAAGTCAAATCAATTAGTTTATTTGGAGACTGGTTACGGCTGCCATGTTGCCAAGGCTTATCGGAATTGTTTGCTCAAATACTGACAATCGAGGATCCCAAACAAATCAGTCACTAGCAATAACTGGGATCAATGTGAATGAGAACACCTGTTTACAGATTACACACTCCAGACCCGACTGTCATGCTCGTTCTTTTTCTGTAAGCGTTATCAGAAAGGTAATGGCTGTGACCGTGACGTATTGGTGGCATGACAAGTGCGATATGGTCACAAATATCCATAGGAGTATACATACATATACACGCTTATCGTAGACATGGCAGGCCAAGGCGGCAAATCGATGAAAGCACGAGAGGGCAGCCATATGGCCAAGTGACTTTGATGTCAACTAAACGAATAATTGGATACAAATAATTATGACCAGTCAGCTGGAAAACTGAAGTGGATTAATCGCGACAGGTATGTGTGCAGGCTGGGCTGGCGTATTTGTGGGGCGCTGAGCTATATATAGATACGCGGCAGCTGGTCGCAAACTCACCTGTTAGCGTGTAGGGATAATAGTTCCATGACTTTTCCGTCACGTAGAAAACGCGCGGACAAATGGCCTGTATCCAGTATGGTAGCCGACTGGAAAGAAATATGCTTAGATGAGGGAATATATCCTGTTGGGATAGTGCCAGCTATCACCTGGACAGGTGTATGCGTTTCTCTGTGTACTGTCCCTTGCCGTGAACAGGGTCTTCACAGGGCTTGTTATCCATCACCTCGACACCTTCCCCTTCGTCGGACTGCTCCAGACTGTGGCGCGCAATCATATACAGCTGTCCAATTTTGTACTGCGAAATGCTGAATTAGTTACAGTTGGCTTGCACCGGCAAATACGAGGTATACCCACCTCCTCCACAGTAAGCGGCATGCAAACGCGATATTCCTTTATTAATACCATGTTGCCAAGTTATATTTAAATAAAAATAATATAACAACGGATCTAACGTTACGCAAAGAACGGCACACGAGACGAGACGCAACTGAAGCAACAACAAAAATTATTCTACTGAAACTCGATGGGGCTATCGATTGTGTTATCGATTGCCTTGCTTTTTAAAAACAAGGGGGGTTTATTTTGTTCGTGAAGAACAATATTTATTATAAAAATTGAACTGAAATATTCGTGTGACCTAAATATTTTATTTATATAAATGAATTTAAGTCAAATATTCATTTATGATAATTAAATCAATATATATATATATTCCTCTATTTCTTTAGTCTCCTTAAAAATACTACTGAGCAAATATGTGTTGCAGTAGAGTTGCTTGGGATCAGCGTACATGCCTACCATCGCAGCAGAATAATCAAATTTAAGAATATCGATATGCAGCCGATTATTTCACAGAGGACGGTCACACTGTTTGATTGCTTGGATTTTTGCTAATAGCAAATCCAAACTCTGTTCGTAAAAACATATAAAGTGCGACACAAAAATATTTTTAAGTAGTCGAACCTACAAAAAAACCACATCTGCAAGGTAGGATAATGAAATGCATATAGTATAAATCGAACAATATTAGCATATAGTGCTTCAAATCGAGTTCGAATGAGACACAATCTGAAGTGAAAAAGTGGCACAATATTAAATACATACTACTCATACATATGTATGTATATTATTTCATAGATTGGCGAGTGGGTGCGTGTGTGTATACATACATGCACGCATACATATATACATTACTGCATTAAGTAGACCTTATTTTGATGCACATCAACATAATTAATGCCTGATCTCTCCCACTTTCCCGTCTTTAGTGCACTGCGGCACGACACAGCAAAACCTGTCGCCTCAGAGCGACGTGCAATGTTCAGGATCCGTGTCAAAATGGGCCCGCAACGCAACAACAACAACAACGGGAATAGCAACCATGGCCGGGTCAACAAGGAGTGGACCTGCTGCTTTGGCCTGCATGTGCATACCGCTACATTGATGATTGGCCTATGGCACCTGGTAAGCTATTTGCGACGCAAAAGCCTTGATTACAGTATCTACGCACACCTACGCATTACTGCAGCTATTTCCGCGCAGCTGACACACACATACACGCACACAAGTTGACCCTGTTCAGTGTCACGAAGGGAAAAATCAATTGTCGCTGCACTATGACTCTCAAACTGTTGCCGAGGCAGCGACTTTGAAAGTTGCACAAACTGCGAAGAAGGTTGCCAACTTTCGCTTCTCGTATTTCGCGCAATTGTGACGTCACGCGAGTTGTGCTACGACTCAAGTTTTATTTGCATGAATCTAACCGCAGGCAAACCCACTTCGAGTCGCCCGGCGCCCCGCACGATTTTGCAATATTTAAACAAACCATTTATATTACGACGTGACATATGTTAGTTGATTTATGGGAATTTTGCAATATTGAGTCGTTAGACTTTGCTCATTATCTCGGGTTACGGATTGATTCAAACTGCAAGCCTTGCAAAAACTGCAACGTTTTATCAAAACAATTGATTTACCAAGTAAACAAACATATGCGGCTTTGGCTTTGAAATGTTTGAGCGCCATTTCGGAACAAATTTAATCACATTAAAGGTCATGCGTTAGGTTCAGCTAATTTTCTTAATGTTAGTGCTATAAAAATAGCTGTTTTCAACCATAAATATTTAAGCAGGGCCATCAAAAATGACCATGAATGTACAAAAGTAAATATGGATCGAAAGTTTTCCACGTGACGAGACATTGCCTTATTTTTACCCATGTACGGCCATGTTGAACATAAACATTTACTCATTTTATACTCTTAAAAAGGGTATAGTGGGTTTGTCAGCGATTGTGTAACTATATTATATATAGTCTAACTTGGAGTTCTACCATTCTCCATACATATAAGCAAAATCTTATCAATATCGGACTACTACATATATCCTATAGACTTTTATGTACGGAAAAAGATATATTTTCCAAACTAAGCAATACGCCCCACATATCTTCAAACCCGTAGTCTATATAGCAAGTGTATGTTATCTTCGGTGTGCCGAAGATAGTTTGTTTTTCTTGTTTGTTTTTATTTTTAAGCTAATTGTTGACCCAGCATACTCTTTATTTGTGCATCAAAATTTTCTTATCTATGTCAGACATATCCGAGTTTATAAAAGTTTACCTGATTAATCATTCCCTCATCTGGTTCTCAACGGTTAGTTCTTTAGGCGAGCGGATGTGTATTTTGGTGACTAAGAATATCAGGTTCCTGAAGTAACTAATTGTTATTGTTAATAGCACGGATTATATATTTTATTTATTCTTTTATATATTTTCGGTCATGACAAATGTACCTAACTAACGGAAGTTGCAAGTATTTGGCGGGTCAACATTTTGGGTTTGAACTCATCACTTTCAGAAAACAAGCATACGCATCTGCAACCTTCCGCACCCATTTTCGACCCTGGACAGTGAAGGAATAGATAAGCGGGTATCACCGTGCTATGACCGTGCCAAGTTGTTTTCTTTAACTTTTAGACCTTGCATCCTTTAACCCGCATGGCCCATAAAAAGGTGGAGCAGGTCTTAAAGAAATTTCCGCAAAGGTCTATCGCGATTTTTCCACACTTGCGAGTGGAATTATCCATGTCCGAGTCTAAACATAATATTACGTCAAATGGTTTGGGGTGTGTGAGGACAAAAAAAAACATATTGAGACTAACATATATAAGTTGACATATATATATAAAAGTTCGAACAAGAATTGAATTGACTTATTTGTCTTCGTCAAGTGGACACAATTTCTATCAATTCACATTGTTGACAATTTTTACAAAGAACTCTATTATTAGCCGAAAATAAATTTAAATGTATAATTGTATTTGGAACTCTGTTTGGCGGCCAATGTACCACTGCCAATGTCATCGGAGTCAACAGTGATTACGCCGTTTCCGATTCCAATTCCTGCTCCAATGCGATGCAACAATATATTGAAGATACATACGAGGACGAAGAGGGTAATTCGACATCTATTGAGTCCATTGTCTCCTCCAACCCACTAAGCGAAGAGTCTGAGTGTGGGGAAAGGCATCGATGGCAAGAGAAGTTTGAGCCACGGGCTGTTAATTCCTCTGTTTATGCGCCCATATTCTGCCAGTCTGATACGCCTTATAATAATTTGGCAGATCACACGCTTATGTCATTGGGGTACAAAGCACCTGATGAGTGGCCGGAGCTGAAGCGCCAAGCGCGAGTCGCCAAGCCAAATCTTTACGAGTTGCTGTCAGAGATAGTGCAGAAAGATCGCAAGACAAATGCTGTGATTACCATTGCGCAGAGCAGTCTCCAAGTGCATCTTATCGTGCTGCAGTGTTTCTCGGGTCTGTTTTGTGACTTGGGCAACGATACTGTGAACGTGGAGTTGCCAGCCGAGTGGGTGACGCCCCGCGCGTTTCGCCTTATTTACGATTGGATGATTGCGGATGCGCCTCTGTTGTCCCGGCTCGGCTTATTAGAGGTGTTGCGCGCCGCCAGTTTTCTTAGGATACCGCAACTGGAGAGGCAGTGCGAGCACTGCCTGGCGCATGGCATCACAGAGGAGTCGGCGGTGCTGTTGTATCTAGAGGCGCGACTGCTGCGCATGGAACGAGCCCACCGCCCTTTGCTGCAGCGCGTCGGTCGCTTTTTTCTGACTCTTGTCGCCTCTCAGGAGTTCCTCCAACTGCCCATGCATGCCCTTTGGCTGCTGCTGAGCTCAAACAGCATAGGCGTCAACACAGAACTGGAGGTCTTCATGGCCGCCGTGCGCTGGCTCAACTTCCAATGGCCCAAACGGCGGCTCATCATAGCCCAGCTTATTTCATGTGTGCGCTTTGCCCTTGTGCCTCCCTGGTTGCTCATTCGTCTGCACGATCGGCACATCAGATCCATTGAACTAAAGCGTATTATCTCGCAACCAGAGGTGTTGCAGCAATTACACGATGGCATTGGCTACACCACGACACGGCTTTGCTATGGCTCCGATCGAGACGCCTTCATGCTGCATCTGGAGCGCACGGGCATGCAGCCGCCGGAGCAGCGCAATTGGATCTACGATCGAGAGTGCAGCTACCACCATCGACTGCACTGCCAGATCTCCGATGAGTTCCCCTACGAGGCCTTCATAGGCTATCTCAGTTGGCTCCAAACGCAACATGGAAACTACTGGCAATCGCTAGAGCCAGTGGACGTTTCTGAAGTGTGTCTCTGTTGCCAAACAGCTGCCAAAGAACTTAAGGAGACCTTTCATATTTAGAGATTTGTATTATACACACTTTTTATTCCAGCTGTGGAAATATATTTTTGCCATTTTAAGAAGATCTGTGTCTCCATGCATAGAATCGAATGAAATCGTTTGATTTCACGCAATTTCTTATGTATCCTCTTTTGACAAATATAGGAATGTGATGGAAACAGATGGTCCAGAATTATATTCCTGAATTATATTCTTGACCAATTATTTTTAGTCTTAGATAGACCTTTAAACTGGGGCAGTATTTTGTTTAGAAAAAGACACTGACTATAAAAAGAATGTTTTTCTCAAAGGCCGACAGAGGCAATAAAAGTCAAAAACAAGAAATCTGTAGTTTGCCTTTTTACCAATTATTCATATTTGTGGCGATGGCAATGAATTAGGTAATCCCTCATTTAATCAAAATGCACATATTCAGCCCTTAAGTGCTCAGGATGGCAATGAAGTATTTGATATATTAATGGTTAATTTAAAAAAATTTAGGTGTTTCAAAAAGAGAAATTGGCAATTAAAGATAAAGTTTATTTTTGATGGTTTTTTGTTGGCAAATCACAGGCCCAGTTATAATAAATAAATATAAATATGTTAAGACGAAGGAACTTATAGTTTTCTTTCTTGTTTTTCGCAGTTCTTAAATATTCTGGCACTCAGCGTCCTGGCTGTCATTTGGCGCAATCCGGAAATGATGGATGAATTGGAAAGCGGTAATCATGACTTTACCGTCGATCTTAATGCACCCGCTTTGCCCACGCCACTGAGCAAGGTGGATCCGCCCTTCGCCTATCGCGATCATTCCCTCAACTACCGTAAGCGTTACCGTAAGCAGTCAGGTCTGAGCTGCGCTAAGAAATCATTGTTAATTTAACTGCTCCCGTTTGTAGAGAACTTTGACATGGGAGGTCTCGTGTGCACATGCATGATAGCCATTACGCTGATGATGATTTATGGAACAATCAAGGGGAAGCCGTCTCATCTGTTGCCCTTCTTCTGCTTGCAACTGTTCGACTTTGCCATCACAACGTAAATGTTAAATTAGATGTGATATACTTTGACTTTTAATAACGTGTTGCATGCTTCGCATTTGCAGATTGACCGCCGCTGGTTATTTGTGCTATCTACAGGCCATTCATCGTATCATTGCCGAGTCCCATCGGCTTCCGTGGCGCGAGAAGCTGCTGGAGCTGCCGCCCGAAGAGCTGGTGGTTGTTGTGCTTGTGGTTTTTGTGTGCATCGTGTTCCTTAAAGCCTATTGCATTGGCATTGTCTGGCGCTGTTACAAGTACTTGACTCTCCGACAACAGCATTTGCGCAGCTTGCTACCCTGCATCCTGCCCGAAATGGCAGTCCGCGGGGGCGTTGGCGGCGGTGGCTTTGGTGCTGAGGAGCGGGCGTACTCGACACTGCTGCCCAATTATGATGAAGCCATTGCTCAGTACTTGAAACAGGCACCACCACCATCTTATCAGGTGGCTATGTCCAACTATCAAAATGAGGATGAAGCTGCCCATGGTGAAGCACAGGCAGCAGACGGTGGTGGTAACACGCCACTGTTTGTGGCACTCGATGCAGTCGCTGTCAATGCTGCATCTAACTCGAATGACAACCTGGACAATAACAACGACATGCCCAACAACAACAATACGGTTCATGTGAATGCCAACACTCCACCAATGCGACGTAGCGAACAGTCGAATACAGGTAGCGCCAATGTCTCAGTCGATGCTAACGGCGATGACGACGATGCCGACCTAGAGGTTATTGATGGTGGCGTCGATGTAATCGAAGGCATAGTGCCGCCACCGCCATACAACGATGTTGCTGATCCTCATGTGCAAGTGGGACTGCAGTCGCCGCTTGATCGTCAGGTTAACATACCCGGTCAGGTACCTGGACGCAACGAAAGTCAGGCCTAAGTTGTGATTTCATTAAAGTTTTTACATGATTATTGTGTTGTGAGCAAAACATTCGCCCACACGCTTCCTCTCTTGCCCCCAATACAACATTTCTCTTTTGTTTGCCACATATATTCCATATATATTTCTGTCAATGAAGTATAGTTTTCACAAAAATGTGCACCCATTCGTATATGAATATTGTATGTATTACCGTATTGAAAAATGTTTGTGAATCTGAAAAACAAAAATCCTGCTATATTTATTCCGCTAGCAGTCGCGTATTGTTATTAATCGTAAAAGGTATCAAACCTAACCAAATATAAATATTCTCTGAATTTTGCTCTAAAAATTAACGTATATGTATGGCAAAATGCTCGTCTAAACCATTATAAAGTTGTATACTTGGCCGCGTCAATTTCGTTTGGCATTGATTTTCATTTAGTTATCCTGTGAATTTTACCTAATTAAGCGCAAGTAGTTGTTACCAAAAAGAGAGTCGAACGGATGTTATAAGAATCTAATGGGAAGTATATTTATGCGAAAGCATGTTCTTCTTATGTTTTAAGCTAACTTGTAAGACTTTATGCATATTTACTGGCATGTCAGTTTTTTTTTATTTAAATGTGTGTATGAATTTCATATGCCACACTTCACAGACATCCGAAAAATATTATTTATGTATGTACAACATCTATATGTATACTATATACTAAATATGCAAAGATATTCGAATAAATATTAGTTAAAAAAAAATATAAAAACTATAGATTATATTTTGGAAACATAGATTATTAGAGCTTGAAACAGCAAATTCGGTACGTCAAATGTATTGTAAGAGCTATGTATAGAGACGGGTACGAGAAATTTGGAGCGCAAAATATAGCTTGGAAAAGCTTACGTAATGAAGCAGATTAAGGGCACTCCTGTTAATTCTTTTGAAGAGGAATGAATAATTTATATCTATTGTCGACCGTGTTGGGCTGCGCAGAGCCTTGAGAAATTTTCCCGTAAGTGCTTGTGCGTGTTTGAAAAGTTTAGTTTCGCGTTCGTGCCGTGCCAATAAAATCCCACCCCCGCCAATCTTCCTACAATACATCGAAGTATTCGAAGAATATTCCATATGGTCAGGCTTGACCTTTATTGTCAGGCCCACCAGCTAATCATTTTGTCTCCCTGACATTTTCAATTCTTTTGCGATATTATTGAAAAAAAAGGCTAGGAAAATAAGGGAATTATTCAAAAACTAGTTGGATAGGATTCTTTGCGTTTACCTTCAATTTTAGCCATTAGGATAGGGTATCTCCTATTCGAAAAGTTCTAAATCATTAAGAATTTGCAGCTGGCCACACGTGCGCGTGCTAAAATAATTTATGTTGAGTCTCACATCTACATCACAAGCAAAGTATTTTAATCGATTGGACTTATTAGTTATTATTATTTATAAGAGCACTTTATAATTTGATAAGAATTCTGAAGTCAATGAAAGATTGAACGTAGTAAATCAGTTTGCAAGTCAACATAAATTCATTGAATCAAAACACACGTGTCTCTAATTGGGTTGGAACTTATACTTATCCATTGTGCACAAAATCGTACGATTTTATATTTTTATACCCTATAAAACAGTATTAGGGCTTTGTGAAATTGAATATTATAGAGCGCATCAACTCTGACCATATCAATGAAAATGAATGTGAGTTAACTAGATAAGAAGATTATAAATTTCCTTTGCTTCGGTTATATTGTGATTAATTAGTGCTTACTTTTGCAAATACGGCAGAACCTTGGCCTTTTTTATTGTCATGTTAACTGGAAATTGAGTTACAATTAATGTAAATTAAGAATATATAAAAGCATGCAACCTTCTCAACAGACGCCTTGTGCCGTTCTATGGGACTTAAGCATAACACTAACAGATTTTTGATATGAAAGGTTTTTGCACATTTAAAGATGTACACAGGTTCTTTACATTGCTATAATGACCGCTACTTAAAGATACGGCGTTAAATGTTGGGGAATGGCGTCCATCCGGAGACGTATGCAAATAATTCAGAATAATCTTTGCTTAATAATCTGTGGTAAGTCCAAGGGTTCGACACTTCATCGAGACCTTTAACGTCATACCGTAAGGGTCCAAAGATATGGAATATCTTATAGATTGGTTGTTTAGTCTGGCTGTTAAGTTTTAATTGTGTTAAGTAGATTTTGTATAACATAACCAGGCATTTTGCAATATTAAGATCGACTTATGTTAACAAGTCTGAGATTGCAAAATAGATTTGACTTTTTTTACTGACCAGGAACATGCACATAGACATCATGGGTCTACCGATGCCAGTTTCTGATTGGCGCATACATTTTCACAAAACCATTGTACCCTCTATAATGTATAAATAGATACAATACGTTACCCCACAAAAGTGAGCTGATTTCCAATCCCAAATTCGTATAAAGAGTTTTTGTATTGGTATTTGTAAATAGTTTGTATTTGCAAGAAAACATACCTATACAATTTGTATCAGTTTTACAATATGTATTCATTAATACTAATGCAAATATTGTGTTACTATTTAATTGAGACATTGGACTCGAATGAGTCAAAGATAATTTGCCGTATGGACGGGATTGTGTATGAGCCAGGAGCCATAAATTAATCAAATTGCTATCTTCATTGTAAATTTTTAACTGGATTTACTTTATTTTAGTAAATTGCGTTCCCAATTTAGCTGATAATAGTTAACAGGATCGGATAATTTACTTGAAAATTTTATAAAAGCGAATTTTTCACTGTGTGGAGCAGAATGAAAAATTTCATATGATGCTTTGAGGTCTAAGTAAGTAAGGTAGTGCCTTTAATTCCTTTCATTCCTTCTTAATTGTATGAGAATATTTACGAAATGTATCTGTAATGTTAAATGGCTTCTTACATCAATATCAGTGTCGTTATCATGCCGGGAGTTTATGCTATGCTGAATATATTGTAAAGTTATCATCAAATGTGCAACGCACAGTTGGAGACATCTCCGACCCTATACAAAATATGAATTCCTGATCAGTAGCAAGAGGCAAGACGATACAACAATTTCTGTCTGTCCTTCTGTTTGCTTTGTCATGAAACTTTGTATAGTTTTGCAAGGGTATTTCGGCTGATGCTGTATCCCGTGGCCAAATCGTGTCTGGTTACATTCTCTATGGCCATCGTCAGGTGAGCGCCACAGAATGCCCCGGCACAACCCTGTGGAACGAGATCCGCACCTGGTCCAACTGGAGGGCTTAATAAATCCCTGGAACGGATTCCAATTTAAAAAATATTTTCTAATGATGCAAAAAAAAAATTCATAAAAGTACAATAAACGCTACATATGTTGAGGTTACCTCTCGGATGTTATTTTGGTGATGACATAATCCTTCCATAAATGGAAGTGAATTAGACTGCAGCACGGTTATGACACAGCTCCAAGTTGAACATATGTCAATGGCATTGGACACTTTTGCATTGGCTGATAGTAACCGATCCAGGTTAACTTTTGAAAGACGCTTTTGTAAGTGATTGAGGCCAGACACAACCATATCAAGTACATTTAAATTGTTCAAATAATTAATACAACAAAATGATGGTAGCTAGACACATTCAACTTGGTAGGAATATTCTCGTTTATTATACACAGAGGATGGTGTCCCTTGAAACTGAAAAAATCTCACTCTTATAGATCGAATTTAAAAAAAATAGTTTACCATATTATAAACAGAGAAATTAATTAATTAAAAAAGGAGCAGGTTCGGATGTCTTTCAACAGTTTTACTGGTTTTAAATGAACCTTCACAAGCGATCCGTTCGAGGTGAAAGATTGTAATAACGCAAAATGTATTCAAATTGGAAAATAGCTGTTGCAATCTTAATTTTATGTAATCTTCTATTCGAAAAATAATGAGAGCTTGGGAGTGCCCGACTATGAGATATTCTAATAGATACTCTAGCTTTAACGATTACTTTTTTTTTCAGTTTTGTCGGGAGTGGAGGGAAGTATCTAAAAATTAAAATATTTTAATCTGTATATACTTTAAGAAGCTAGCTCTCATTATTTGTGAGTTTTACTCAAAGCAAATTTTTACAGTTGTCGAAAAAATAATAAACTTGTTCTGCTTTGGTATACGAGAATATATATTTCAATTTATAGTCTCGAGATTTTGTAGATTCCCAGATCGACGCGTTCATACAGACAAACTGATCAGGAATATGTAAACTTAATAGTTTTTATTGGGTACAGAGTATAAGAATTGAACAAAAGTGTAAATAAGCTCAGTTTTGTGGGGAAGGCCCTCAGAAAAACACCCGATCAATGCTAATAACATATGCATATAATTATGACAGTGTATTGTATTATAAAAAGTTTTTATTTTGCAGCAGTTTATATATATTTTTGCAGCTTGAAGAGCCTTAAGTATAATAATCACTTAAGCCTTCCAGTTGGACCAGGTGCGGATCTCGTTCCAGATGTTGGTGCCAGGGCACTCAGTGGAGCCTACCTGACGATGGCCATACAGGGTGTAGCCGGAAATGATCTGGCCACGGGAAACAGCATCGGACAGCAAACCCTTGGCAGCCGTGATCTGAGCGGAGGTGATTTTATCGCTGTTGTAGTTGCCCAGGAAGGAGATGCCAATGGACTTGGAGTTCCAGTTGGTGGCATGAGCTCCCATAACGTTCCAGCCGCGACCCTCATAGACGTTTCCATCACCACCGATCAGGAAGTTGTAGCCAATATCAGCCCAGCCCAAGCTGTCCATATGGTAGCTCTGGATGTTGCGCAACTGCGTCTCGCAAGCGCTTCTGGTGCTGCAGTAGTTGCCAGCGGTATGATGGATTACGGCGTAGCTCAAGGAGCTGGCCAGCGTGGACTTGCTGGTGGCCGAGCGACCGCCCCACTGCGACTTGGTAATGATGGTTACACCAAAGACGGCCTGTGCGCAAAGGAGCACGGCCAGAACGATGAGAGCTTTATTTGCCATGACTGTGAATTGGTTTTGAGACTTGTGTAATGGCCGACTGCTGCGGCGCTATTTATATAGCCCGAGGCAGTGCCTTATCTCTGCCGAATGAAGCGCGAAGCACACGACACTTGTTGCGCGCAAATATATTTATAAGAGGGTTGGGGGAACTTCGATCTGATACGAAGACTATCTAAAACAATTCTGATACTCGTGTGCCATTCCCAGCGTTGGCCGAATGAGTTTTTAATCAAGTGCCAAGTGGCATTTAATTAATTTGTTAAAAATACTCATCGATATTTGAAAATAAACAATTCTTGTAAGTTAAGCTGTTAAGCTTATGTCTGTCGTATACCCTTTAAGTCTATAATCCGAGAGAGGATCTTCGCACAATGTACGCATCGGATTGATGATTTTTACGGGTTTGTCAAACTTAGAGACATGAATAGTATATGTAAGTGTTAGGATGTTGGCTACGCCTACTCGGGACGCGGAAAACAGGAAACATCTGCATCTTCTACACTCTTAGAGCTAGAATTAATAGATTGGATTTTTTGTATTTGCCTATCAGCTAATTTTTGTCAATGACGTTAGTAAAATATATAGCCAAAAGAAGGTAAACGAGGTTATTGTAATATATTGAAAGATTACCGTAAAATAAACCAATGTAAGTAAAAGAATGTTTTCAAAAAGAACAAGGAAATAATATAACTAGAGTAAGCGAAGCGATGAAAGAGAATATTAATACGGAATATATGATAGAGAGTGACAGAGAGGGCAACAAATAGTTTAAAATATTGATATATTAAGTAAATAAGCAGATATAAAGGTAGAGAAGTTGTGATGGGAAGTTACTGACCCGATGTGGGAAGATTCCATATGCAGTCTGGTAAGCTCTGCTTCTACGTGGTTATTAAAAAGGATACAGGTTTGCGACAGCTTTATGTGAAGTATATTAAAAAAGGCTGAAAGAAACTTCTTACATTTAACAATTAAAACAACTTTCTATAGATAATACATTTAATTTTCCTTTGGGGCCGTGATCTTATGAAAGGTAAGGATTCGTTAATATAATAATGTAAGGATTTGCAAATATAATATCATGGCTTTGCGTACAATATTTTACCTGCTGAAGGATCCACAGGGCATCAAACACTAATTCTAGTTAAAAATGTATTTTTTCCGATATTTCGGTATTTTAGCGTATGGATCCGATGGATCTACTTTTTATAAGATAGCGCATATATATATAATATACCCACGCACCATTCAATAAAATAAAATAATTGGAACTTTTATGGAAAAATTAATAAAACGGCGCAAATAGTAATTCTAAACTATGGTGAATAATTGTGTGCAACTATTATTACGAAAATATTGTTTTTAAATATATTTTTTTTAATTTTCTTTTTACGAATTTGAAAAACAGCTAAGTTTTGCGCTAGATATGGCTACATATATATGGTTACATCTTTAAAAAGAACGTTTACCTTTAAAAATGTTTAGCATAGAAAATAATCATTATCTTTTTTTGGGGGTTTCATCCATACCAACCAATAAATGTTTGCTGTCTTATTGTGACAGTTCTAGTTTGTCATTTTTGTAGCAAGAAGTCCGTGAGCTCTTATTCCCAGCTAATTTGGCTTAGAACGTGGCTTGAGTACACGAATAGTTATGGCTGATATGAACAGACTTTCTGTTTGATCAGCTAACAAATAAAATCAATTTGAACGATATTTAATTGATCATTTATTGATAGTTCGGTTGAAATCAAGCTTTCCAGTGAGACCATCCACGGATCTCGTTCCAGATGTGAGTGCCAGGGCATTCCGTGGCACTTACTTGACGATGGCCGTATAAGACATAGCCGGAGCTCAGCTGGCCACGGTTGACGGCATCGTTGAGCAAGCCCTGGGCAGATGCGATCATATTCGGCTCTAATGTGTCCCAGTTGAAGTTGCCCAAGAACGAAATGCCAATGCTAACTGAATTCCATTCGGCAGCATGGGCGCCCATCGAATTCCAGCCACGACCCTCGTACACAGCGCCATCACCGCCGATCAGGAAGTTGTAGCCAATATCAGGCCAACCCAGGCTGTCCATGTGGTAGCTCTGGACGTTGCGGAGCTGTTGGGCGCAAGCGGCACGCGTCTCGCAATAGTTGCCGGCCGTATGGTGAATAATGGCATAGTTCAGGTAGTTGCCCAGGGCAACTCGGTAGTTGGGAGCACGACCACCCCACTCCGCCTTGGAGACTATATTGACGCCTTGGACTGCGTACTGGCTGCAAACCAGACAAGCAAAAACTAGAGCGGCAACTGCTTTGGACACCATGGTAACTCTTTTCGATTTGATAACTGATGTCTGCAGTTGTGCTTTTAAATGAGATTTTCTGCTCCCAAGTTTGGCTTATCGAGCTCTTCAAATCGAACAAGTCATCTTGAAACTGCTCTCAATAATTTATAATGACTATTATTTATGGTAATGATTCCCTCGTGGGAAGTACATTTGCTAGGCATGCATTGATTTACGTTGGCAGCTGGCTGCCGCCTTATCGACTTAGTATATGTATACATATATATTTTGTGTATTGGCTACCTTTTGTCTCGGTTCATATATTAGATTAGATTGATAGCAAAGTGGTGTATGGCTTCAGTCTGTTATGAATTCCTTATCACTTCGAATCCCATGATCTGGTCGATAAAATGAAACTTAAAACAGTACCCCTATAAAATTTGAGATTGATATGAGACATTTGATGAATTGATCTTGAAAGGGGGCATAAAAGGAAGATTCGAATGTCTTCGCGATACTAGACACGGTTGAGGATATATCGGCACTTTCAAGAGCGAAGAAAAGAGTTTTAACCTAGTCGGCTTTGATTTCAAGAAATTAATCTGGTGACCGATTACAAAATTTGTAATACCTGAAACAGAAATAATTTCTTCATTTGTACGGTATATACGACCATTGCCATGAACAATACATTTTCCTTAGATCGTGAGTACGGCGAGGTAAGTACCTAATGTGGATTGGGACGGAAACTCACTAATTGGCCGCTAAATAAAGATGAGCTGCTACAGTTTGATGCAGGTGGACTTTAAGCAACGTTGTCTATTATCTAGGAAAATTAAAAACTGCCAACGTATAATTCACTTTTTCGATTATTTCGGGTTGATGTATTGCAATTTTAACGTTCAAACCAAAACGAATGAAATCGGTATTGTGTGCATATTCATAATGATTGCAATTGCTCTGATGTTAACACTCGTCCATATATTGGGTAAATAGTAAGTTCAGCTGTCATGCATCTAACTAGATTTAATGCCGATTGCACTTCAGTTTTGGAGCCGTGCTAAAAATAATGTCGGTCAAGCTTCACATGAATGAATATGTAGCAGGCGCTACTCTGTTGTCATTCGCCAATGCCATTCCGGATTTGGTGGTCAATTTAATGCCGGTTCGTGAAGAGGCACCTTTATTTACAATAGCTATAAGCAATGCTTTAGCTGTTATTCTACTAAGTGGGGGCATAGTCTGTTTCCTTAGACCTTTCAAAATAAATGGACATTGTGCTATGCGTGATCTTCTGTTTCTGATGTTAGCCTGTGAGATCATGGCCTTTATAGTTATCTCAGGCAAACGGACAACTCAAATAGAGGCCATATGTAAGCAAACCGATGGTCACTTTAAATAACAGATCATTTTTTGGGATTTTTTTTAGTGCTTGTATTATTGTATATATTTTACTTTGTTATTATTATTGTGGATCTAAAGCTGGCACGTCTAACCATAAAATGTAAGTGTCGAGCGCAAAGAGCATGCAGTTGCTAAAATGTCATATAATTCCTTAGCGCTCAAGAAACAAATAAATGAGCTTCACAAAAATACATCTACACCTTATCGAACTCGACTATTACACGAGAAGGAACTTCTGTTGAACAAACTGGAAAAGGACAATATATTACTTATACAAAGCGACAGTGTAAGTGTCGGCTTATACAACATGCAGCGCAGAGCTTCGTCGGATTTCAAGCAGAAAGGCGAACGCAGGGCAATGAATAGTACAGAAGGAAGAATGAAGCCATTGATGCATATGCTTAAAATTAAGGCACTTCGAAACATATTACATAATCCAAGCAATCCAAGAAATCTATTCTTATGCAGCGAGTTTTGGCAAACGCTATTACCGATCGATATGCAGGATTGGAAGCTCGCTGGCTGCTGTAAACGCCTTTATCTCATGGTCACATCACCCATTGTTCTATTGTGCACCATTTTCATACCTATCATTGACTATCAGCAGCCCAAGCATGGTTGGAGCAAGCTCCTAAATTGCCTGCAAATTATTATTACTCCCATTCTGCTGATCGCCTTGACAGAAGGTTTGTACTATGTATATATCGTATGCAGTCAAAAGTAGTTACTCAATGAACATTTTTGTTTTTGTGAAATTAAGTCGAATAGCTTGGATTATGCAGAAGCAAATTAACCGATGCGCCGATCTCAGAACCTATAAGAGAGTTAGATAGCATAGGTTCTCCTAGTAATCGATAACTTGCTCCGTTTCCAAAAAATCTATCTATATCAAAATCCTTTTTTTTTTGCAAATTTCTTAGGATTTAATGACTAGAGTCACTAAATTTTGAGAAGTTTTATTTTCCAAATTAGTATACAAATTAAGCAATTATTGTGTGGGGAAATAAGCCTAAAGCCTTTCACATGTTTTTTGATGATACATATACGTAATTCTTTAAACATCAAATAAGTTAAAAAGTCAAGTAATCGACTTGTTTATTAATTATACTCTGAAGACATTCAAAATGGGTTAAAACAGAAATAATAACAGATAATAAGGAAATAATAAGTCCTTCTATGGTATGCGTAGATAAGGTTTGTGTGAAATCATTGATGACTTTCTACGGCTTGCGAGCTTGTATTTTTGGTAGAAGTAGGTCCTGGCTATCTCTAAGTCAAGGAAGTAATTGTGTTAAGTACCACTCTTCAAGTTGGTAATAATCTCAGATCGAATTTCAACTTATAGCTTCTTTGTGTACACCAGAGGAAACAATTTTAGGCATCAGATCTTTTTCAATTTTTCTTTCATTCGCTTCTGCATAGTTCAAGCATTGCGAGAGAAAGAATTTTGTTTTTCAAAATGTAAAAAAGGTTCGTTATGAAAATACTTAAAGCTAGTGCTGTTAATAAAATGACTTAGTATCCTTTTAGAATTGTTTACCCTGGACATTAAAGATTGGCATGTGACATTAGGCTTTAGACACGCAACGTGGTCCATGTTTCTTACTGTACCACTGGCCATTATCGTGTTATTCCAGACTCGCACGGATCGGCCACCACGGTATCATCTGGTGAGTCGTGAGCCGGGCTTCGTCAAATAAAACTCCTCCAACTCAACTGCAACAATCGGCGCAGCTCTTTCTCTCACTTACCGCCATGACCGCTATGCTCATTATAATAACGTGTGCAATCGAGCTTGAGGTACTTTGCTGTATTATTGGATTGGTCTTAAATTTGACCGAGAATTTCGTTGCTAGCTGCGTGCGATCCTTAGCTGCGGCTGTTGCTGATTTGATTATGAACGTGGAAGTGGCTATGCAGGGCTATGAAAGAATGGCGTTTGCTGCCGTGCTGGCCGGACCACTCTTCAGTAAGTGGCCACTGGACAATACAAAACAAGTGTTTCCTTACAGACACCAGATAATTGCAGGCATAACGGTCTGCATTGGCATTCCCTGCTATTTCAATAAATTTGCCCAGCTCAGAGGCTCGTCGTACTGGATTTATGGAAGGCATGCTACGAATTCTCACATTTTCTTTGCCCTAATGATTTTCACAACAATGGTATGGACATTGACATTTAATTTCTCTGCTCGACGTTCTGCGGGCATCTTTTCATTCATAATGTTTATCCTGTTTTTGTTATATGCCGCGCTTGCTGAGTGGAACTGTGTCCATGATTTATCATATGATAGGTTTTTTGAGCCCCAATAAATCAATATGCTCGGCTTAAACAAGATGCAATGCTTTAGTCGCGAATGCCCGACTAGGAGATACCCTGTACCCAGCGGCGAATTTCTTTTATACAAATGCGAACTTTCTCCCATACATTCATGCACGATAACTCGAATACTCACGCACACATATCTGTATATATGATAAGTTTTATTGTAAGTTCATCTAGTCCTGATCCGATGTCATATCGACCAGCACTAACGCTAGATTTCGAATGTAAGATTAGTCAATAGTTGATTAAAGAATAACAGTTGCCATTGATGCACGCTGCCAATGATATAATGGTCAAACCCGGCCGTCTCCGAAATTTGCACTGCCTGCAACAGATGGACGGACCTATGGAAGGTTTCATGACGATAGCTTTAAAACTGAGGGGCGCCACTCGTAACACATTGTATGACAAAATTATATTATGACAAAATTATATAACAAAAATATATATAAGTAAAATAAATATATATATATATAAGAATATATTAATTATATAATTAACAATATATAAATATAAGTTTGAGAAGTACAAGTTCGAATGCCCTTGTCGGGACTGTCCGAGTAGGAGGTTCCCTGATCCCCTCACCAATCTACCATAACAAGTAAACTAGCTTCCTTCCTATAAATTCTGGTGGTTTCCGAGTGTTGAAGTTTAAATGCCAAAATATTTACAGAGTAACTAAATGCACGTTAATGCACGTTATTTTTTGTTACCGCAATTATTTCAGTAAAATTCTATCTATCAATCTGCATTCAAACATTTTAAAAATCGATGGGTTAAAAAAGTGGTTTTTGGTGATTTTCTGTAATATCTCGGCCAAATAATGTCCGATTTGGGAATTTTATACCATTTTGGACTCGTAAGGATCAGTACTATCGATTGGCATCAAAAAAATGAAAATCTAAATTTTGACCCAAATGAACAAAATGGCAAGGAGTTACATCACGTTTTTTTCAAATTCGGGGTCGGCTCGAAAATCAAAACTTTTTTGATGATTTTTTTTAATATCTTGGATAATTATTGTCTGATTTTGAAATGTTATACCTTTCTGAATTCGTACGGATCCCTACTATCAATTGGCATTCAACCTCATTAAAAATCGATGGGTTAAAAAAAGTTGTTGCCCCAAAAACGATTCGTTTGTAAAGTCAAAGTTATTTGATGATTTTTTGTAATATCTCGGCCAAATAATGTCAGATTTTGGAATTTTATACCATTTTGGGCTCGTAAGGATCAGTACTGTCGATTGGCATCAAGGAGTATCTCGGGTAAAGATTGTCTGATTTTGAAATGTTATACCTTTTTGAATTCTCTTCCTGTAAAAAGTCATCTAGAATAGAACTATTTAGCAAGTAGATAGTCTTAGGATATATTCGTAGTCTGTATTTGTTATGTACCTCGAGAATCGTGTCGTACGTTACACGAATGCGCCTCTTGGTCGGTTGGGAGGGAGGTGAGATGCAGACTGGAGATCCCAATATCCAAGGAGTATGTAGCCAAAATGTAGTTGGCTGTTATTGAGGTTAACCTAATTTGTATTGTAAATTCGGTAACAATAAAAACAAGTAAAACAGACTACCCTTATTGTTCTACCGAAAGATTTATAGATTTGAATATTCAACTTTGAATCATAGTAAGCTTTGCGCTTAAAATCCAATTAACCAGCAATATTTTTGGCAAACAAAAACTCTTGTTAAAATGAATAAAACATTTTCGTTAGAAGAAGCGTATCATAAGGTGAGTTCTTGGATAGTCCGTTTGGTTTGGAGACTAACGTATCCATTATAAAAGATGAGCTGCTTTAGTGTGATGGGGGCGGACTTCAAAGACCGCTGTAAATTAGCTATGGCTGTGACGCAGTGCACTCGCGTTATGAACTTTTTTAAGTATTACGAAATTATGTACTGTGGTATAGAAATTCGAAACCAGGCTAGCGAGTTGGCTGTTATAATAATTTTCAGCTTAATTTCGATCTTACTAATGATAACTACCGCGTATTTGGTCGATAAATAGTAAGTCGATTTACCAAGCGAAAACCACGCATCTAACAACCTTTTTAAATGTTACTTCAGCTTTGCTCCAGCTTTAAAAATTATTGCAGTCAGGCTAAACATGAATGAGTACCTGGCAGGCGTAACATTACTGGCCTTTGGCAATACTTCGCCAGATCTAATGGCCAATTTAATGCCTGTTCGTAGGCACGCACCCCTTTTTACCATAACTATAAGCAATTCTTTAGCTATTATTCTAATAAGTGGCGGAATGATATGCTACGTGAGGTCCTTTAAAATAAATGGACACTGTGCCATACGCGATCTTCTATTCGTACTACTATCTTGCGAGGTGCTCATCTATGTAATGTTAAGCGAAACCCGTTTGACCGCAAGTGAGGGAATCGGTAAGTTATCTATGTATAGTATACTCTATGCATTTACTAATTTTTGTGTTGCCTAATAGCGCTTGTATCGTTATATTTTGTGAACTTGATTATCGTCATTGTGGATAGTCAGTTGGTACGTCTAACTATAAAAGGTAAGTGATGAACGCATATTTATTAGCCATGCCAATTCTTAAATATATCATCACTCTTCAGCACTTCACAAAGAGATCGATTTGCTGTTCAACGAATCTGTTTCAGCAGAACGAGATATGTTAATAAAAGAAAAAATTGCCCTATTGCGCGAGCTAGAGCTAGACCAAATATTGATTGTACGCCACCGTCATAATGAAGCAAACAATCTTTCTTCCATTTACAGTTTTAGTCGTAGACGAACTTTCAATGGGATCTCAACAACGAAAAATGATGGACTGCCACCAGCAGTTAATCTAAAAGAAACGCGAAATTCTATGTATCATCCACGTAACCATAGGAATAAATCTTTGTGCGTTGAATTTCTTAGAGATCTGATACCCGTCGACTTAGACAAATGGAAAGAAAGAGGCTGGATTGGACGCACTATTATTATACTACTCTCACCTATTGCTCTGCCCTGTTGCATTTTCATACCTGTTGTCGACTACTCGCGAAAGAAGCATGGCTGGAGCAAGCTGCTTAATTGTACACAAATTATTACCAATCCATTTATGTTTATTATCCTGACAGAAGGTATGTTAACTTTATTACTCTAGACGCGACTCCAAACCTTCTATACTGCTTCAGCAATGATTGTCAATGAGTACGACGACTGGCATTTAACAATAGATTTCAGTTTGGCGAAATGGTCATTGTGTGTGACTGTGCCTCTAGCCATTGCCGTCTTTATTCAGACACGCACGGATAGGCCGCCAGCATATCATATTGTAAGACACTTAACATCTCATACGCTAAATACGATAAAAATCATTCGATTTCAACTCTGGCAATATGTGCAGCTTTTTGTTATACTTACCGCCAGCAGCTCGATGCTTTTGATAGCGATTTGTGCCACCGAGCTGGAGGTACTCTGTTGTATTATTGGAGTTGTCTTTCATATGTCGGAAAGTTTTGTTGCTAGTAGCATTCGATCATTTTCATCGGCAATTACTGATATGATCATGAACCTGGAGCTCGCCATGCAGGGCTATGAACGAATGGCATTTGCTGCGACCTTAGCTGGACCATTTTTCAGTAAGTTGTCATTCTATCAGAAATTAATTTGTTAATAGAAAAGATTACAATTTCAGGCATTACAATATGCATGGGCGTTCCCATGTTTTTCCACAATTACAAGCAACATGACAATTCACATTGGCTCTTTGGGGAGCATGGTGCGAATTGTTATTATTTCTTTTTGATAACAGTTTTTACAACTCTGATCTGGACCGTAACTTTTAATTTCTTTGCTCGTCGTTCGGCGGCAATTTTTGCATTTACATTGTATCTGTTATTTATATTGTATGCGGTGCTCGCTGAGTGGGGTTGGATACATGAGTTTGCAGATGATTTAAATTTTGATCCCAAATAAGACGATTTCGTGAAGCCTACTAAAGGTACGGGATCAGATTTTGCATATGTACGACAATTTTACTAAGATAGGTTTCAATAAAATGAACATTTCGATTTAAAAATGTATCCAATAATTTTCTAATATAACTTTTATGACTATAGTTTGAACAAACTCAATATGTCCAAGCTATATATGCATATAATTAGCTTATGCAGGTTGGCCTCAAACTTATTTTTTAATCACCAATTAAAATCGTAATTAATATTTGATTCAGCGATATTGGAATTCATTCATTTTCGACCGATCGTTCCTATGGCAACTATATGAAACAAAGTCCCAATGTAGACAAGATTTTGTATATATGTAGAAAGCATAGTGAAACCCTTAAAACCCGAGTTTGGTCAAGATATCTCAAAACACAGAAAAGTTTTCCATACAACAACTTAATTTTCGACCGATCGTTCCTATGGTACCTATATGATAAAGTTGTCCGATGTTGATAGTAACAGTTTTTACATTTATGAGGAGCACATTAAAACTAATAATTGCCGAGTTTGGTCAAGATAATTTCTTGATCATACAAAAAAACCTACTTTTCGACCAATCGTTCATATGGCAGCTATATGATAAAGTGGTTCGATCCAGCCGGTCCCGACAAATGAACTGCGTGCAACAGGAAAACGGACGTATGCAAGTTCAAAACTGAGAGACAAGCAAAACTGAGCATAAAACAGACAGACGGACATGGCTATATCGACTCGGCTGTTGATACTGATCAAGAATATATATACTTTATGGGGTCTGAGATGGGCCCTTCTACATATTATATGTGCATTTGCGGTTGATAGTCATAATTAAGGCCCCGAAGATATTTGAATTTCATAATTGCCGAGAAGGCTAATCACGTTAATAAAGTATCATAATTAATATTCTGTCAAGTACCAACATTAAGTGAATTAGATGTCGACATGCGGAGAGGCGGGCAAGGCGACGAGGTCCTAGACGGACCGTACAGACGGACGGAGTCTGAATTGTCAGCGTTCCTCTATTGAAAACCAGTGGAGCGTTTCAGCTGTGTCTGCCACTCTATCTTGGCTCTATTTAAATTAAATAAAATAAATAAAAAGAAAACGCACAGCAATAGCAAAAGCTTGCCGTTAATTAGGGTTAGTATTTCTGGCTTTGGTTCAGCTGTGAGTAAAACCTTAATGCATATACTCGATTGTCGGCCAGCAGTATAGAGATAATTAATTGGGTTACCTCTTCAAAAGTCTTGACGGGAGGTTAAGACAACTGAAAACGGAGGGCAATGCTCTTGAAGAAACGTAAGCCAGGCCAATTTCAACGTAGCATCGGTTTCATTGAATTGTTGAATGCAAATGCTGCAGTGCTTGCATTTAACTAGCGCGAAATGCGAAGCCATCTGAAACATTACCATTACATTTAAGTGCAATTGCATAAACATAAACAAGTGCAGCCCCACCCGCAAACGGAACATCGAAAAAATAGTGGAAGCCAAATGCGAGCTTCAACTTCAAAGCGAACGCCCGCAGAATTCCGGCAGCAATAAAAGCACTCAAGTCCCATAGACTTCCTGCTGCTGTCTGTGCACTTAATGTGACATGTTTTTGCAACAGTTTTGGTTTTTCTGTCGTCTATACTCCGGCTCTAGTTCCAGCTCTGGCCTTAACTCAGCTGCACATAGCCAAGAATAGCAAGTAAATAGCGTGGATAGAGTCTGCTCAACTAGGATATTCTCTCTTTATAGAGGTCTGACATATTGCCTGGAAATATTTGTATCCATCGCAAAATTAGAAACTGTATGTAACAGGCGGAAGGAAGCATCTCCGACTATACAAATTGTCCGTGTGTCCAAAGAGTCATTCTGGGAAAAAGAGAAACATATATAATGAAAATTTTAATCTTCGTAGATTCATATGCAGAAAAAGTTTATAAAAATTATCAATATCTTTCCCTTTTCGCCAAATACCGATAAGTATCGATTTTGAAACAAATATGTAACTTAGTATGTAGGTTCCCATTCCCTTTATTAAGCCAACTAATAGAGTCCTACGCCTTGGTAAGAAGGAAGCTCAGTAGCTCTGCGTGGAGTAAGGAGAATCTTTCCTAGTCGGGCATTCCCGACTAGAACTCTTGCTAAATATTCAAGTTAAATATTCAATCTAACTTGATACAGGCATACATAAACTGAGCATACGATGCAAAATTTGTATGCAAACTAGGTAGGAAGAGTACTGTAAAAGTGTCATTGAATTAAATTGAGCCTGAATTTTAATCAACTCAATGTAATCCATTTTATGTGTATAGGGTATAAAAGGGAAAGCGATATTCAGTCTATAGCTGCCCATGTTCCTTGAGTTTTGATGCATTTTACTTGTTTTCAAATTGTTTTGTATTCTTTTTTTTCGCATTTTTTTCTGTTTTGCATATTGTCCTTGTGGGATTCTGTCAACATTTCCAAATTGAATGTTGGAAGAAAATTGGCGCTCCAATTCGCTTGGTGTGGAAGTCATTAAATATTTAAAACCCAAGCGCTGCGGATTCGCATGTTATATGATATCCTTCGGTTATACTCTTAAAAGCCCATCAGAGCAACGAGCTGATTTGTAGATTAATACCCAAGATGTTTGTCCCGAATGTATTGTATGTGAAAAGGCCACTTATGATCATCGTACATGGTAGCTCTTAGCTTAACACCATCAACTAAAACACCTATACTTTTACAATCCAGGTAAGATTTGTTGTACCGGATGTCCTGTACCCTGGATGACCCATATGACCCATTGCCAATGTTTGCCAGTGTAAATACAGACAACTCTCTACTTGCTTTTGTGCAAATTTCGAAAGTCTTAGAGCAAATGTGATCAAATTTGAAATAAAGACTGCTGATGAGCTTCTGTGCAGATCGATAAGAAATAAATCTTTAGTTTTGTGGAAAACCCATCAAATAAAAGAGACTCGATAAAAGTGGATATCAACCCCTGTTTATGAGCATATTTTGTTGGATTTAACAGCACTTTAAGTATATTTCATATTTTGGAAAGCGCCTCCAGAAGCCACAGAATAAAGTAGCTACAAGTTTCAATTGCGAGAACAGCCATAATTTTGAGAATGTTACATTTTCGACCTACATTATATGTCACAAAACATCTACCTAGATGTTATTAAAGAAACCGTGTTGTCACTGTGGGTGACTCACGTGGCAGCTCACCAGGCGACTGCATTTTATGCATTTACTTAAAATTATAGCTATAAATTTTTTTACTTATATACGAATCGCTATATCTATTGTATTTCCATAAGTGTTAAGATTTTGAAATCGTTTGCGATTTACGAAAGCGAATATAGTCACTGAATCCCCTGAACTGGCGACAACAAACCTTTCAAGCTATTGAGAATTTAAGAAATATTTACGTAAAATTTTTCGCACTCTAATTCGGTCTTTAAAGTCCCAAATTTATAAAAAAAAAAAATCGGTAACAAAAAAAAACCTAAAGAGTCTTGTGTAGTCTGCACAGATTAAGATTACGAATAAGCCCGACAACATGTAAAGATTGAGCCTGTGAATACCAAATTCATAGGGCCGGACCATAAGCACCAGCGCTATTCTAGATTGCATTTGCCATAGTTAGGCTCAAAGAGAAGACGAAGCTCATCAGTTGAGTGCGTGTGTGTGAAAGAAGCTATTATGTTTACAACAGCAGCTCGGCATTGAATTAAGTGTATTTCCGGCTGTATCTTTACCCACTAAAACACTCTTATTTGTTTTTGTTTTTCGGTAGTTGTCGGGCAATCAGTAAGCTATCCTAGGAAACAAGCCGTCAGTTGGGGCATACAATAACCTATTCAACAAGATAGGAAGCAAGGTGTGCGATTCACGGGCGACTCGGCCAGGTTTCAGTTCCTGGCCAATAAATAGGCGCTTAGCATTATAACTCAATTAGCAGATAGCACTTTGCGCATACGCCACATTGGCCACCGAAAGCAGGTCCCAGCTACATTTACAGAAAACAGAAACTACATGTAAATTATGCAGCCCTTAATTAATGAGAGCGCAGCGCGGGGATGGAAGTATTGTTGTTCTCCATTTTCCTGCACTGTCTCGCCTGGCCTCGTGTCTCCGCTCCTCTTTTGATTTGCATATCATTCGCCCGGCTGAGCATCTGTGTCCTGCGTTCTGTGTGTCTGTGCGAGTCAGTTGGCTAATGAATCTGCAGTTGGTGCATTAGGAGCACGGGTACTGTCTGTGGCTTGGCTCCAATTAGCTCAGACTACACTTGACTTCACTTGCATTTGCTCTGTCTCCCCAAGCAGTGCCCTCTCATGAAGAGGTGTGAAAAGATTTCTGGCTATGGTGCTGGACTTATCTAAGCTGGATTACGCTTGTTATGCTTTTGACAAAAATAGCATGCCAATGTGTATGCTTAAAAGATCACCAATCCAATTGCCAACAATACACATATAAATATTTCTTAAATTTAATGGGTTATCCAACTCCAACTATCATCGCCAGCTGTGGTTTTCGGTGTTTGGCTCTACGGTTGTAACCAATGCATTGACTCATATGAATCAAGTTTTATTGTTAGAACCTCGATTCCACAGATTTCTTAAAATTAATACTACCCAGTTACACATTTATACCACGAACCTACTGCACATGGGAAAAAAATGTATGTAATACGCAGAGGGAAGCATTTCCGACCCCATAGGTAGGATCGAATAATTCCGGTAGGCGAGGTCTCAATTTATATATGTTATTGGTTAGCATCAATCCCATTATGTATGTAATTGGAGTCAAAAAATATATTGAAATTACTGTCAGACAATAAAATGAAACCGAGTTAACCCTAATTTAACAACAAATTGAGAAATTGGCACTTAAACATACATGTAATAAATTTCTGCGTAATGTAACATTCTATTTAAATTAATCAACAATACCTCAATTTTCGATTCGTTCGATGTGGAAAAATGGTGGCGGAGCTTTCGGAGCAGCCCACTTCATCGTTGCCGCTAGTTAGTCAAGTAAACGTCTCCAAGGTTCAAACAAGCGAAGAAACACCAGGCTCATACCACGGCGCAAGTTCCTTCATTGCGTCCACCT